GGAAAGTGAAAGAGAGTTGGAGCTACTGGACTTAAGAAAAGTGCCTGAATCCATGCAATTTTTAAGACAGTGAAGTATTCCTATGTTCTTTGCTATGATGGTATTAAGTATATGGATTGCACATTGCTTTATTCCCTTGATTTTCGCTGAAGGTCATTCCTGGTGTAGAGATTAAGATCTGGGCAAAGATGTAGGAATTGCACTGGACATTTTATATTCTGGAAGAGACTATTCACACTAATCTTATCAGCATCCTCTCTTTGCCACAAGGGTAAATTACAGCTACTACTTTCTACATCGCAGTCTAAGATATTACACTGAAAATGAATATATCTCATCACCACTTGGGTTCCACATGTAAATCTATACATAGTGACATGTACATTATAACGTTCAGGATATCTTTGAAAATCGAATTATAATATACAGGGCTTTAGTCTAGCAATAAGAAGCAACCAGTTGATCTATAGATTCTCTTGGTATACTTATAACCAAATGCCTACTCCAAATACATACTTAGTGTTGTTATTTCTTGGTGGTTTTTCTTTCCGATCATTTGCTTGGTTACGGATGTCCTCATGGGATGGTAGCCAAGTTGTGGATGTAGAACTGCTCTTTCATGTATTCTTTGCTCTATTCATAATGTTTTTCCTAAGGATCTTATTAACACATCAGAACTCGGATTAGATTTTACTTTCTCAGTGAGTCATCTAAACAGGTCCTTCCTCATTATTCTCTATCTTTGTGTCATGTTCATTGTTTTCAGAGCACGTCATATTTTCAACTAATCTAAAATCCTAATTATAAATTACATCATCTGGCCCCTGTCCAGTTCACAAACCCTTTGCTGTTTTGGGTTTTGTTTTTTTTTTGCCACTCTTCCCTGTGCTCACATTTTCACACTGACTTTCCTGATGCTCCCAGGACGCAGGCATGAGGTCCTTCTCTCGAGTACATTCCTCCAGATATCTGTAGATTTTGCTTCCTTACTTTCCTCAGGTCTCTCCTCCCATGGCACCAATTCTTGACTATCAAGTTTCAAGTTAGCACCACATCCCTCCCTTTGATCCAGTCTTAGTTTTTCTACTAGCACTCATATACCTATGTGTTCAGTGTATGGATCTCATTGGTATGTCAACTCCATTAGCCTTTATCTACTTTGTTCATTAGGACCACCACACTGCTTAAAACAGTGCTTACCAAAAGGCTGACACTCAGTACTTAGTTGTCGAATGAATGAATTTCTTACTGATGTTTCCGTGACTCGATTCTAAGGACCATAAAAGCAGAAACTTTGTCTCTGGCATTCCTGTTACATCTTGTATACAGAAGGTGATAAATGAATATTTATTCAATGAATGAATGAATGATTTACATGAGCATGTGTGTGTGTGCGTTTAATCTCTTTCCCTCCTTAGACTCTAACTACCATGACGACCACGTGGTATTCTGTTTAGCTGCCCAGTATGCAGCAACCCCACTGGAGGGTCTGATTTGCTGTAAGCACTCAGTAAGTAGTCCTAAGGACAGGGACATGGGAGAACAGGAACTCACTATGACCAAAGCCACCCAGAGGCCCCCACAGAGTTAATCTGAGGTCTTAGCTGCAGAAGGAAAAGAGTTTAGGATATACACAGAGCAGTGAAAACGTGAAGCCACCCTGTTTGTCCTTTCAGGGGCCAATCTGGTTCCAGCCAAGGCTTGCTTCCCGGACAAGACCCAGGAAGCTAGCGCAGACTACTGAGCTTTACTTTCAGATGATACCTTTGGACTTCTGGGGGTGTTCCATCTTAATTTCAAGCTCTAGCTGTGATCTGATTGCTTAAAACCGCTGCCCTAAAGATTCCAGATGAATCTGTGGATAATGCCAAAGGGCATCAAACAAGAAAAATTAGATTTTAGCATAAAATCTCCCACTGACTAGCAGAGTAACCTTGAAAACATCTCTTATCATTGCTTCTTTCATGTTTTTCACTTGAAAAATGAAGATGCCAGAAAAGAACCTGTAGAATACACATGGATGTGTATTCAGGTTTGCTTGATAAGATGCCTGGGAAGGGGGCTTTATGAGGCATCTTCTCTCTCTCCTTTGCCCACCTGCCATGACCCTCCTTGCTTAATAATCACAGCTCAGTGAGCTATGGTTGCTGATGGAAATCAGTCAAGAGCATGGGAAGAAAGAAAGCTTAAGAATCACTGGCCTGTGTTCTCCCTGCGTTTCTTCCCAGGGTTAAAATGTTGTGAATCTATAAGCTGTACTTTTCTGTTCACAATGCTGCTGCTGCTAAGTCGCTTCAGTCGTGTCCGACTCTGTGTGACCCCATAGACGGCAGCCCACCAGGCTCCCCCGTCCCTGGGATTCTCCAGGCAAGAACACTGGAGTGGGGTGCCATTGCCTTCTCCTCTGTTCACTATGAAACCCCTGTATTTTAACAGTGCTTAAGTTGTTGCAATCCTTTAGTTCACGAACATTAATTTTTTATTTTCTACTGTGATCAGGGACTAAGGAAGGCTTTGAGAACACAGAGATGAATTTAGAAATGGTCCCTTCCCTCAAGGAGTTCCGTTCGAAAGGAGATAGATCCAACAGTTTGAGAAATGCTTCGATGAGGCCAAAGTAGTGGGTGACCTCAGAGCACGTCAAAAAACACCTGGAAGAGGTGGGCGAGGAAGTCATCTGTGAAATCCTCCAGTAGGTGACCAGAAACTGAGTCCTAATTTTAATTCACTGAATTCTAGGCTCCAAGAGTTGCACACTGCCTGAATCGTTCACTCCAAACTCCTTATGTGCCGAAAAGGAAAATTGCTCCCCAAAGAGGCTGACCAACTCCTCGAAAGCAAGTATCAAGAGTTATGCCCAGGAATCAAATAAGTACTATCTTTTCAGAGATTTTTTAGGAAATTTTTCATCAGTTTATTTCATCAATTTTATGATATAATTAACAAATTAATCATATTTTAACAACTTAGAGGGGAAATTATGAATATGTATTGACTTCACACACAGTAATGATGTCAATAACCCACCACCCGTAAATTACAAGACCCTGAAGCGAATTTATTCAGATACATTCAGTCTCACCCAACTTGCCTCTTGAGCTACTGAATCACAACTGGGAAGGACAGGTACAGTCCAGCTGTGAACAAGAACAAACTTTAAGAACAGATCTTAATCTGATTGCACTTCCTCTCCAAAATTGATCAGACATTTAAGGTAAGCCCTTCAAAGTGAAATGTTTTTAGTAGTAGTAGTATATAAAATTTCTCAGGTATGCAATTTTCTTGGAGTTTGCTTGCTTTTTATTTTTTCTTTCTTTCCTAATGCAGTCGTTTTACTTGGGATGTTTAAAGATGGTGATATAGGAATGGGACAATATAAGATCTCATTACATTAAAACAGAAATACTTGGGAGTCCATAATTTCTAATAGCTTGCCATCTGTTAGGTTCTTAGAGGCAATGGATTTATCCTGCTTAGTGGAGATGATGATACTGGGGAGAAATCATGGATTATGCAATGGATTTCTGAACTCTTTAACTACTATTATTAATTTACTAGCAGGCAAACCAACAGTTCCCAACATAAAATCAATTATTTTTTGTCTTTCAACTCGTACCCCGAGTAAGGTTGCTATGGGCACCACATAACATCTCTTCTGGCACCAACAGATTGCGTTAAAGTCACCCCACAATCTCTCCAAATTAAAAAACCTCCGTAACTTTGCACTGGCTTTTTCACTGTACTCGCAGCAGGATGCTGTTTTGCCTTGCCCCACAGTCCGGTTTAATCCTCCAGAAAGAATATTTTTAGAGGCACATCGGACTGAATCATTTTCATCTGAGCACACCATTTCCAAATGGCCGCACAGGGTCCTAAATCCGGCCGCGGCGGGCCAGGACGAGCAGGTGTCCTCCGTAGCAGAGTGGTGGGACCCCGGAGCATTCATTAACTGGACGTCGGAAAGCCAGAAAGAAAACTCGAACACGCAAGCACAGGTATAACCCCGCAGCGGTGGGCGGGAGAGGCCGCGATCGCAGCGAAGGATTCCATCCTTGGGCTTGGGGAAGTCCTAGAAAGGAAGCAAACGCTGCTTCCCCAGTCAAGTCAGAAAGCAGGACGCACAGGGTCGCAGGTCAGAAGTTGAATTGTAACCCAGCCTGCGCTCCGTCCCAGCGCCTTCCGCAGCCCGGGCACCGCCGTGGCACCGGGCTGGGAGAGAACAAGGCTGGCTGGGGCAGGAGGAACTGTGAGTTGCCACGGCCGGAGAGCGCCCCCGGCGAGGGCAGACGCGACCCCCGCCGCCTTCCGAGCGCGAAGCAGGGAGAGCGGGCGCGGCTGCCACGACGCTGCGCCCCCGGCCGCGGCCCCGCTGCCCGCGCTTCGCTTCGCCCTTTGCGCGGAGGGCAGCTCGCAGCCCCGCCGCCGTGCCCCCGGGCACCGGCCTCCCGGGGGGACGCCTGGCCCGCCCCCGGGCAGCTGCCGGGGTCTCCGCAGCCGGACCGACCCTCGCCCCCCGGCGCCGGGACAAACTTCCTTCGTCCTGGGCCCCCAGCCGCGCAGACTGCCAGGCGGCTCCCTCGGCAGGCTTCCCTGGGCTCCGGCTGCAGGCGCCCTCGCCCGGCCAGGCGAGCTTTCCTCCCTGCCCCTCTCCAACCCGGAGCCCCGGGCGAGCGCCTGGCGGTCCCCGCGCCTCCGCTCCAACAAAGCCGGCGGCCGGGAGGCGAGCCGCCGAGGGGCTGAGAGGGGCGGCGTGGGCGGCTGGAGCCCCGCAGAGGCACCCCTGGGCCGGGCGACGGGAGCGCGAAGGGGCGGCGGGGACGCGGCGGGCGGAGAAAGGGGAAGAAAGTGTCCTGCTCTCGGCGCGAAAGCCCTCTCGGCTCGTCCTCGCCGCCCGGCTCCCCCGGCCCGAGCGCTGCCCGGCGGTCCGGGGGGAGTTGGCGGCGCCAGGGGAGGCGGCTGGCGGGGGACGCGGTGGCCTGGAGGGCGAGCCGCTCCCTTACCTCTGTCCAGAGTGAGCGGCTGGACCACTGTCAGTGTCGCCATGTCTGCCGTGGGAGCCAAGTGACGCTCGGCTGCAGCAGCAGCCGCCGCTTGTAGTGAGAAAAAGAGGAGGAGATTGGGGGCGGGGGTGGTGAGGGAAGACGGAAAGGAGGGGCAGGAGGGAAGGTGGCGGCGGTGGAGGAGAAGAGAGCCTGGGTGGGTTGGCAGCCAGATGGAGACGCAACTGTTCCGCGGCGGGCAGACCTTCAGATGCGGCGTGAAGCGGAGCAGGTATCGGAGAGCGGATGCCTCGCTGGCTCTGGGAGGGAACTTTGCCGTTCCACCCGAGGAGCACCGGATGGGTGTAGCTAGCGTGTTGCTTTCTTTCAACTTTCCACTCGAATAAAATGGTCACAGCTTACGGGCGTTTGGGGGAAGAAGAATAATGAAAGGGGATAGAGGGGAGGGAGGCAGAGAGAATTTATTTTTTTTTTTCCTGATTGAGAGTTTGTCCATCCCCTAGAGAGAAAATGCTTCTATTCAGAAATGTTGGGTTGTAATTGTGGTTGCTGTTAATTTCTGTTAACGTTTATTTTGGAATGTTGACTCTTAACAGTACACAGGATAACTGACTTAAAGCCAGGATTCCATTACCTCTAGGTCTCCATTAAGGACCTCAGTATATTGCCTAGAAAATAAATTATTTTACAAGTAAACTTCTTTTAAAATGGTTTTAAATTAAAAATCACAAAGAGAAGTTTCTATCACGGAGTTTGAAAGACAGGTACCTAGCACTTTTCCAGGTTGTTCTATAGCCAGTGGTTACTCAGAGTTGCCACTTGCTGATTAATTAACATATTTGACAGGAATTGAACTAGGCCATCGCCTGACTTGGGGGATTCAGTACAGTCCCTGATTCCAGTAGCCAGCGATCTAGTGGGAGATGATGTTTTTAAAAGGGTGACTTTAGAGTCAATCAATCAAGAATCAGTGACTAGAACTTTCAAATATTGGTTGTGACCCCTTCACCCTAACAGATTGCTTTCACTGTCTTGCCACATAGAGACTCTCATTTTGATCAAGAAATTAAGATATAGTTATCTTATGTAAGCAGAATGGTGATGACTATGAGTTCAGGATTGGAAATGACAAAGCTGCCTCCTTCCCTCTCCTCATGACAGAGCAGAATTGTTTTGGCTAACAGTATACTCCTGAAGACAGACACTGTTTTACAGCAAAATATTTGCACATAATCTACATCATTGTCTTCTGATTACAATATGGATGGTTTCTGAAGACCTTTCCCATCTCATGGTTTATATTTGAAAAAGAAAAAAAAAAAACACAAACAAGATTTCACGAGTGATTTGAGAAAGTCAGAGATGATTGGTCAAACCCTAACAGACCTTAAAGACATACCTAAAATAATAGTTGTTGCTTATAATAGCGTGCTTATATTTTCATTTAGTGTCTAGAAAGAACCCTGATCTTGAAATTCAAGGCTTAGTTATATGCTCTCCAGAAACCACCTAATCTCTCACTGATCCCCAGTTTCTTCATCTGTCAAACAAAGACACTTTTAATCTTCAAGCTTATTGAGATTCTGTAAAATGAGGGAATTAATTCTTGCCTGCAAGCTCACTGAGTTTTGTGAGGGTCTAATGCGTTCATGCACATGTATGTGCTTTGAAAACAGTAAAGTATATACAAATATATGCATACAACATGCACATTCCACCTGAACTGTATGGCAAGCCCTCTGCTAGGTGCTAGCCAAACAAAGATGAATAAGACATGGCCCTTTTTCCAGACAGTGCTCGGTACAAGTTGGGAGACAAATAATGAGCAGGCTGTGAGAATATGAGTAAGCTCTGAGCAAAAATGAGAGCAGTAAGTACTCTAAGCACCGTGGAAAGATAAACTGGGAGAGAGAGAAGAAGCAACAATTCTGGCTGATTGTCATTATTTACATCCCCTAAATCAAACAACAGAAAGAAGTTGAATCATGGACAATAGCAATAGAGTATGTGCCAGGGCTTTGCACAAAATATCAAACCTCATTCAATAATTTAGGGTGAAAAGAATATACAGATCCTTTGGCCACTTGAGTAGTTCTTAACATCAAATGTTATCATGAATATGTATTTGAGTGGCTTGATTCATAATTCTAAAAGCCATTTCAACACAAATCCCAGACTGTGAAGTCCAAGAAAGTCGCCTTTTTGTCTTTGGGTTTCCTGATATATTCTCAGCATCAAATATTTAATAGCATGTTTCTGGACTTAGGCTTTGAGCTCCCTAATTGAACATTAGTCTACCATTCTCCCTCTGTGTTGACTCTGGAGAGTTCTTTTAAGGATTGAAAGAGAAAGTAAGAGGAAGAACAAATCACCATATATCTTTGCAAAGAGTCAGACATTTTAATTATTGTTTCTAGTAGTGGCAAATTCAATGCCTTTACCTTATGTCTGCACAGGTGTAGAAAATGAATAGTAAATAATTTATTATCTGTCATGAAGGATGAGTAGCTACTGTCTCTCCAATAACATTTGTGAATTTCTATTTGAGATATGTATAAATGTAAAGTGAAAGTCACTCAGTTGTGGAAGAAAAGCTATGACCAACCTAGACAACATATTAAAAAGCAGAGACATTACTTTGCCAACAAAGGTCTGTGTAGTCAAAGCTATGGTTTTTCCAGTAGTCATATATGGATGTGAGAGTTGGACTATAAAGAAAGCTGAGCACCGAAGACTTGACACTTTTGAACTGTGGTGTTGGAGAAGACCCTTGAGAGTCCCTTGGACTGCAAGGAGATCCAACCAGTCCATCCTAAAGGAAATCAGTCCTGAATATTCATTGGAAGGATTAATGTTGAAGCTGGAACTCCAATACTTTGGCCACCTGATGTGAAGAACTGGCTCACTGGGAAAGACCCTGATGCTGGGAAACATTGAAGGCTGGAGAAGAGGACAACAGAGGATGAAATGGTTTGATGGCATCACCAACTCGAGGGACATGAGTTTGAGCAAGCTCCAGAGTTGGTGATGGACACGTAAGCCTGGCATGCTGCAGTTCGTGGGATTGCAAAGGGTCGGACATGACTGAGAGACTGAACTGAACTGAACTGATTTGAGATTTGTAGAAACACAATCTTGCTTTGGCAGATAAAGGCCATACTTGTGCTGTGTGCTGCGCTGGGCTTCGCCATTCAGTCGTGCCCGACTCTTTACAGCCTCACGGACTGTAGCCGGTCAGGCTCCTCTGTCCATGGGGATTCTCTAGGCAGGACTACTGGAGTGGGTTGCCGTGCCCTCCCCCAGGGGATTTTCCCAACCCAGGGATTGAACCCAGGTCTCCTGCATTACAGGGGGATTCTTTACCGTCTGACCCACCCGGGAAGCCATACTTAGGTCGCTTGAATAACTGTCTGGATCACTCCTGTACCAGCCACAGTGTTTCATCAAGGTCAGTATACTTGATCTATTCAAGTATACTGAATATGCTTTGCTGATTGTGTATTAATTAGGAAATTATCAAAGACGCCTGTGATTATACTTTTATCTTAGCTATTTGGTTACACAGTCAATACACTTTTTCATTAAATTATATGTAGCAGTATACTTCTGTGGCATCTTTATTTTCAATGAAATTCATTAATTCAGAAATACTTACTGAACACTTTCTGTGTGCCAGGCTTGGGACTAGGTTGGCTTCTCTTTCCTTATCTTTTCAGCGGAGAGGATTAGGTATTATTATCCCATTTTATAGATAAGTAAACTGACACTCAGAAAGGCCAATCAACTTGCTTAAAAATAGTAGCACCTGTATTCAAGAGCCCTGTTTGTTCTACTGAAAAACACACTTCATCCTGCACTACTCAAGATTTAGTGATTTCAGCCTTTTATTTCAGAGTGAGTGTATGTGTGTGCATCCTTTATCTTTTCATGTTATGCTTGAGAGATACTCAAAGAGAGAAATGCATGGAGGAAATTTAGGTCACAGGAGGAAAGAACTACAATACTGGTTCCATTTTATATAAATACAGGTTAGTATTAAAGCTAACTATCTACTTTGAATATAAAATCTGTTCTTGTTAAAAAATTCATTCAAAGTTACATTAAGGTCTGTTTCACTTATTTGAATCTTTGTGAATTATATGACAAAATCAAGAGAAGGTTTGCATAAAGCATTAGCATACTAAGAAAATGTGTTTAGTTAGATTATAAATGTAGTAGAATAAGCACAGTTTCATATGAGGAAAATAGCACCTTCAAACTGGAATTCTTTCAGCCTTGGGTGTTAGAAATTATTTTTGACTGATTCAAGATATCACTTTATCTTCTTTAATTCTCACAGCTTAGTCAAAATAGTGCTAGATTAAGAGGAAGTGCCAACCTATACTTTGGAATATAAATGTTTGTGTGTTTTTTAAAAATAGTCATTGAAAATCTTGTTATATTTATTTTTCCTTAGACTTTTTAAAAAGTGGCAAATATGTTCATGGCAAAATATCTGAATCCTAGACTTGTTTAATAACTATTATCTGTTTGTTCATCAATTGATACTCTACTTACTATGTCACAGATGCTGTTGTAGGCACTGCTATATTGTAGTGAACTCGAAAAGGCCCTGTTCTCACCTGGCTTATATTCTACAGGGGGAGAAAGACAATAGACAAACTAAGAAACAAACAAGAAAGCGGTTAATTAGTGACTATGTGTTGTGCAAAGAATGAATAAAGATTGGATTGAATCTAGAATAATGTCAGGATTACAAAAGACAGAGATAAGGGAAAGGGGCATTCTGAGAAACAGGAGAGAAAAGCCAGGGATGAAAAAGTGGACGTGGTATATGTTTGGGCAAAACAGGCAGTTCAATTGGGAGCGCAAGAAACGAGCCTGAGAGGGCCATGGAGAGGCAGGTTGTGACGGATAATGTAATAAACAGAAATGTGATGAGCCTTTCACAAATTGCCTTGTGCCCACCATACAATGAAACGTACAAAGACCATCTAGGCTGAGAAGAAAAAAATTGTGTTGTAGCATCTAGATTAAAAATTA